GAGTGGGGGGGGGGGGGGGAGGAGACTTATGTAATACTTTAAACAATAAAAATTTTAAATTTTAAAAAAAGCAAAAAAAAACCAACCTAGAAGTATCTGTTGTGTAAAAAAAAAATTATACATTTATTCTCAAAGAACGCTAGGAGATGCTCTCAGAGTGGTCCCGTTTATGGAAGAGGAGACTAAAACATGTGGAGATGACATATTTTGGCGACAGGAGACCTGCTCTTAGCCAGGGTACTTGGGCAGCTTTCTGTGTCTCCATTACTGAGATTAAATGTTCTCAGGGGAAGATAGTGAAAGATAAGAGATAAAGTAAGATCTTTCTTAAGGCTACAGATAACAGGCTGACCAATTTAGGTTTGATATTCCAGGAATGCTTTGAACATTCGGTAAATAATTCTTGGCCATTTTTCAAACCAAGTGCTAAAATTTTGCATGTACTTTTTAGGGATTTCTTCTTATTGGGGAGGGGAAGAATTGTGTCTGGACTAGTAATAAAATAATAAAATTGACACAAGACCAGATGAACTGGAAGAACATCAATTTAACATGTGTGTATTGGAGAATCACAGTATGGTTGGTGCTCAGATCATAAAATGAGGCTCAAAGAAATGATCAAACCAGGCACCTTTTTGTATTTATTTCGACAAAGTAATAATAAATTTGAGAAATTGACAGGACAAAGAAAGTTAGTGCTCATATAAAGGAATCTGAATGAGGCTTGGGTTTGTTTTTTTGTTGTGGTTTTTTATTTAGTGATGAATGTGAAAAAAATATTAAATTAGAAAAGAGGCAATAGGAGTTGATTATACAGACTTTTGGCTCTGAGTTGTTTAACTCTAGTGATAAAGGGTGTCTCCCAGTGCAGTGAGGACACCTTTCACTTAAGAGGCCTATTCCTGAATTCAAGGAGACAAAGGTCAAGGTTCCCTTCTGGCCCCAGCTGCTTGTCAAGTAATCTTAAAGTAATCATCGTGCCATTATGGGATATTTTGGGGCAGCCTGTCTTGGGCTCCCACACTCTCATGGTATTACTATAGCTTAACTTATTAGCTATCAGAGGGGAGTGCACTTAACACATAAAAAGTATAAAAATAATATGGTCATTTTGGTATAAAACATAAATTACAGATCCAGTAAACTCAGAGAAGTCATAGAAATCATACCTAGGTACATTGTAGTCAATTTCTGAAAACTAAAGACAAAACAAATTTAAAAAGATAAATGCTAAAAGCATTCAGGAAGAAATAAATAAAAGTTTAACATTTCATCAGAAACTATTAAAGCCAGAAAATATATACTGCTGAAAGAAAAAATGAACCCAGAATTCTCTATCTAGAAAAAAAAATCAATTCTGTAGACCCAATTCAACCATGTCAAAAGTTATATTAAGTATAAATGGACTAAAAACCCAATTTTAAAAAAAGATAGTCACATTAGCTAAACATATAAGATTCAAGCATAAGTGTCTAAAAATTATACACTTTAAATACAAGACACTGATAGGTTAAAAGTAAAAGGATGGAAAAATACATGGCATGTAACACCAAGCATAATTTGGAAAGGATATATTAATATCAGACAAATTAACTTCACAACTAGGAAATTACCAGGGATAAAGAGGGTAATTTTATTAAAAGAAGGACTCAATTCATCAGGCACACATACAATCCTAAATGTATATGCATCTAATTAAAAAAGAAAATTTCAAAAATATATTAAGCAAATATTGAAAAAACTTAAAGTAGAAATAAAAATATGCATTATTACGGTTTGCGATTTTAATACTTCCCTCTAGGAATTGATAGAGCATGCAGAAAGAAAATCAGTCAGGAAATAGAAGAATTGAATAACACAATCCACCAACTTGACCTATTTGACATACAGAGCATTCCATTCAACAATAGTTGAATATACGTTATTTCAAGTGCATATGGGGCATTTCCAAATATGGTCCATGCACTGGGTTATAAAACAAGTTCCAATGAATTTAAAAGGATTGAAATACTATAGTGAATAATATGTTTGTTTGTTTTTTACCACAATGCACTTAATAAAAATCAGTAATTAACAGATATTTGAACCTGGCTGGTATGGCTCCGGTTGAGCATGAACCCATGAACCAGGAGTCATGGTTCGACTTCCAGTCAGGGCATATGTCTGGGTTTCGGGCTCGATCCCCAGTAGGGTGGGTACAGGAGGCAGCTGATTAATGATTCTTTCTTATCATTGATGTTTTTCTCTCTCTCTCTCCCTCTCCCTTCCTCTCTCAGAAATCAATTGAAAACAAAACTCACTAAAATAAAACACATAAAAGATATTTGGAAATAAACAAAGGAGAACCTCTATTTAAATATTGATATCTAAGATGGAAATACATTCATTTTACACATATAACAAAATAATGTAGATTCAAGAGATTAACAAAGCATTTTTCAATGTTAAATTTCCCAAATTAAATTACCTGCCTCCTTTATTATGTTAAATAGCATGTTAAAACCAAAATGTATTGCTTTTTAAAAATTTTTAAATAAAATAAACATATCTATAATTGTTTTTATTAGAAAGAGATAAAATTTTATGTGTTCTGATTTTTTGTTGGACATAAACAAAATAATACTCAGCATCTGTATTATGTTTAAATTCACTTTATACAGGCAGTACATTTTTCAAGTGGAGGAGCCATGTCAGTGGTGTGGGGGAGAGGAGTTTTTCAAAGACAGGACTTTAAGTTTGAAAATTAGTGACTAATGGAGCATACCCAGTAGGTATTTTTCATACAACTTAGCATCATCATTATATAACGATGCTGCTTTGATGTGAGTTTAACTCAGACACATGATTTTTCATCCCAGAGTATCAAGATTATAGAACAATGAACAGTACAGTTATAATGAGGAAGATATTAAGATAAAAATATTTAATAAAATACTAAAGAGATAAAATTTGAAGTAGCCTTGTCATTCACATATGGTGTCAACTCTACCATAGATAAAGAGAAAATGATGAAGACGAAGAAAATGAGCCTGTAAAACCTTAATGTGGAAATGGGACGTTACAGAGTTTAGATTAAACAAGTCCCATGTTTTTTTAAAATTTCATGTACTGTATACCAAGTGAGAACCACAGCACGGCATCTCCTTTCGCATTCCAACGCAATGAAAGACGTCTTCCCTTTGGGTTTTTATACTTGTACAGATCTGCATCTATTACTGTGAGAGGGAAATAATCTGGCATGTTGAGTGAACCTTGGCATGAAAACTTTCCGTATTCCTTTCCCTGCAGAATATCCCTCAGTTGGTAAAGGGAATATTTTTCACGCTAATTTTGACCTCC